AAAAAAAGGAAAAATCAAGGAAGAAGGAAATGGATCGACTTTTTCATTTTCCTTTTCCTCGCTTGTTGTTATCCGTTCCTCGCGTTGACTGTTCTCTCCAACTTCCTCCCACCGCCACTCTTTGGATCAACTATACTCGTCGTGACGGCTGAGGATTCCTTCCACTTCCTTGTGGCGCGCGACCCACTTCTACAGCCGTCGTGTACGCTTCATCCCACTGAGGATCATCGCGCGTGACGCACTCCTTCCCCACCACCACCAGCACACGCACCGGGTCAACCACGATGAGCCCAATACGCCCGTCGCGACATAGCTCGGGGGCAATGAAATAGCGTGTTTGTAACAGTGGCACCGGCCTAGCGGAGTCTCGTGGCCCGGTCCAGGAAGAGTCGTCGAAGATGACAAAGTCATCAATGATTCCGTGCATACGCAGAGAGGTGTTGAATATTTGCTCCGCCTCGTAGCGACAGATGGCAAGCAATGTCCCACTGAAGCGGCGTAACATGTGGTGATAAGAGCTGCTGGACCCATCTCCCAAAGAGCGGCGAGTCGGAGGACGTTTGGCACGGCGCAGCGTCTGTTGTAGGGCAAAAAGTATCAGCTCATCCTCATCAGCCGTACGGTCTTGCACAACATTTCGAGACCAGGTGAAATCGCCGTGGTTAATGTTGTCGCAAATGGTCAAGTACTCACTTGGAGTGTAGATTGACGCCGCAGGATGGCTCATGTTGCGGTTACCCTGGCTAACATCGGCAGTACTACTGTTGTACGCGGGCTCAGACGCACTCCGTGGCGCCGGACGCAGAACACGGATTTGTGACAGAGGCAGCGCCTCCTCATCGCTTAAGAAAAAGTGATCCTGATCGCCAGCGTCTTTGTCGCCCGCGGTAAAAATAAGCGGAGAGGAAAAAATGCCATTCGATCTGTCAGCCTTTTCTTGTTCTCGAAAGTGCCATTCTCTCCGTGCGTCCATGACGTACAGTTTGTGTTCGAGCTTCATGCGCTCATACACGGTGCATGGGACGGGCGTCAGAAACTCCGTAGACAGGAGTTGTCCGTCGCCACGTAAGTTCATCATGTCCTGTCGAAATTGCTCGAGTTGGCCACGCCAAATATTCCCCCGTCTGTGCAACTCCACCCAGAAGAGACGGCAGGTGCTGCTCAGCAATTGAACCTCACGAAAGTTCAGGAACGAGGAGATTATGTCCCATGCGTCAAGGGGAAGAGCTTGGAGCGGCACGAGAAGGCCACTGTGCCGCTGCCGTTGCTGCTCAGCCTCTACATCCACGTGCTCCCCCACACCAATAAGATGGAAGATGCAGCGCTTATCCTTCACCCCTCCGTCGTCGCGGCGACGCTCGGCTGCCAGTTTCTCACGTGCCTTCTCCGCCCACGACAAACGCGTCTCCTTTGAGGTCTCGCCCCGCTCACTGAGGCCAGTGGGACTGCGGCTCATTCTCACCGGCGTTGTTCCCCCCTCCCCTTCTCTTGTGGCCTCCCTGCTGAGGCACACACGCCCGCTTCGGACAAACAAAAACAAGTAAAAAAGAAAGAGAAAACAGAGAGGAGGTCAGGTGGGTAAACAGCAACAGCAACAACAATGGGAGAGGCTGCGGGAGAGAAGAGTTATCTACTCTCCTCCGTAGTTGGGACCCTGTCGGTGGAGAGGGGACGTGGTCGGCTCCGGCAGACTCACGACCGGCAACAACTGAGGAACGCAATCGCGCCGCCCACCTGTCCTCTCTCTCTCCCTCTCTCCCTATTTCTCAAGAAACTTTAAACACACTTGCATCAAACAAGATTTCCAGCTCGGGGGTCAATTAGCGTTGCAACCTGAGGGCGCAAGTGATCCGCCCTCGAACATTACACGAAGTGCATAACAAATGAACCCCACTCCTCCTGTTCGCTTCACCCAACTGGCCCTACAAGATGGGTGGGTCGCAGATGCATCTTAGTGACCGCCTCATCCTTACACGGTTCGTCCAATTTAATTCTCTCCTCCCACTCCAACTCCCTTTCCTCCCCCAGAAAAGAAAAAAAAACACAGTGAGAATGTAACCCTCCTGGACACAAGCGCTGAACGGAATGATCAAGGCAACCCCCAATCCGTCAAGGTGGACGATCGCGAGAGAGAATGCGGGCAAAAGTAGGGGGAGAAGTGCGGCTCGACAGCGAAACACTTGGGCCTAAATGCGATTAAATCCAGGGATACCGGTTGGAGAGTCTCTTGGGGCCAACTGGCGGCGTTTCAACGCCGTTGCAGGACGGTATCGGTTGGCTATGTGCTGCCACTTGTACCACAACTGCCGGTACACACGGGGACGGAAAACACTGTTCATCTCCGTCGGGTGTAAACCGGCGGAGTACGGGACAGGAACGGAACGCTCTGCTTCAATATTGCGCACAGTCTCTTCTTCCAGCAATGCCTGCAGTTCCTCCGCCGGCAGCTTTTGGTCCCCACGCAGCTGCAGCGCCGCAAAGGTGTTGGCGACGTCTACGTTCCGTTTCCCATCCGACTCTGTTCCCTTCCTCGTCGATTCGCTGTCGTGCGGTCGCCCCTTGTAAACGTCCGCCTCCCACTTGTCCTCGTAGCCCTGTACTCCTTGCTCTGCGGCGAGGCGGATGAGGTGACTCGCCTCGCGTGGACGCATGTTACGAATCAAACAGTCATGGTAAAACTTCACCATCGTCGGGTGCATGCGTCGATCCTCACGCAGCATCTTTTCAAGTAATCGACTCGCCTCCTCCCATTTATTGAATCCAGGTATCACCATTGTAATAAGCGCTGAATTGTGCATGGTGTCCGTGGAATCGAAGCCATTCGCCTCACACGCCTCCAACGCCTGCAGGGCAACGCGCCAATGTTGTAGCTTTTCCAATCGATGATTGATTTTGAAGTCATAATTCCAGCCATGGTCGGCATTCGCCATGCCGTTCACAATGTAATAGTACGTCGCACCGTTTGGCTGAACCCGATCCTCCTGCATTGCGCGAATCACCCGTACAATTTCCAGCGCCCGCCCCCAGAGAGACTGGGAGAAGAGGATCGTGTTGTAATGCTCGCGCGTCAGCCTGTAGCCAACCATACGGCCCTTTGACGCAAACAACATTGTCTTTTGCCACGATGTTGTCCTTGACATCCGACGGAGCACGCGTAGAAACTCCGTCGGGTCACGCCGCACTGGGTCAGTCATCCTTGACGAGGTGGCTCCCTTCCTGGTGGGACCGCGCTTACGCAGTGGCGTTGGCGTGCGTCCACATGAAAGACGTCAGAGGCGCACACAGAATCACGATGGGCGGAGGGGAATCGAAAAAAAAAACGCGACAACAAACATGGTTAAATGAATTGGGGTCACAGCACCAGTAATATGCCTCGGAAACAAAACAAAAAACAAAAAACACAAAAAAAAAAGAAGAAACATACTGCAGTGGAGTAAAATAGCGTTCTTTCACCTCTGTTTATATATATATATGCATGTATTGACTTATTCATGTTTGAGTATGTGTGTATGTGTGTTGCGCCGCGTCTATCCTCGCTCTCAAAGCTTCGAGAGCAAGTAGCCGGGAACAGGCCCCAGCAACGCCCAAAGAAGAAGCGGCTGTGAGTCCGCGAAGAGGGCGTTCGTGTCCTTACAAGTCTGCTTGCATGACCGCAGCAGCGCCTCCACTTCCGTCGAGCGGTAGGCGTGTTGAGAGGGCGTGCTCGTCACATGCTGCCGGAAGTGCGCACTGGGGCTGCAGAACAGCGACGCGGGAAACGTTTTCTGCATCACGTGGTGAAGCTTCTCTCGGTTTTTCCACCGCATCTCCGCATAGAGCGGGAGGAAGAGGGCGTGCTGTGCGAGGGCGGCGCTCTGAGGGCAGTCAGGAAGGAGCACAATTTCCCGCAGCGTCGCCACTAGCCGTTTCCGTGCCTCGCCCGCCCCGCTGCAGCCGCTCCAGACACAAGCGACGGCGGGGACGGCGTCGAACCCCGCCGTGCGCAACGCCCGCGCCGCCGCCTCGGGCTCGCGAACGCGAAGCAACAAACTGTCGGAGTGGCCTGCAACACACCGCCGCGGCGTCGTCGGCTCCCCGGCCGAAACAACCTCCACGTCGTTACGCAGCCGGCTGAGAAACTCCCAGAGAGAGAAGCAGTCTGCGTCAACGCGCCGCTGCAACGACGTCACGGTGGTTAGCATCCAAAGAAGCAACCCACGGTGAGGCTGCGAAAAGGCAGAATTAGGTGACTCACCACGTGACGGCACCACCAAGTTGATTTGGCCATTATTCTTGTTGCTCTTCTTCTTGTCGCCCACGGAACTCATTCCATCATTTTCACGACTTGTAGCGCCACCACGCGCAACTTTCACTTGTGATGCCATGAGGAACTCAAAGATGCGGTCGGCCCGCGCGACGGCGCCACGCCCCGCCCTTCTCGCGGTTTCGTCCACCTGCGCCTCCTCCGCGGTTGGCCACCGCCGCCGGGGGCGAAGCTTCTGCGCCGCCAGGGACCCCCACTGCATCACCCACAGTGCAAGCCGAAAGCTCATGCCATCTGACACCATCACGTGAGCGATGTGACGCGCAAATGAAACCCACTGCCTTCGCGCGGCGGCCAGAGGCCGGCCCTCCAGGCGCGCCAAAATGCCTCTTGCAAGCAGCGGATCTTTGCTAAATGCGATTGCGCCGCCCATTTCCCCGGCCGCGTCCATGCACGTGATTTGCACGTCAGCCCTCCCTGCACTGCAGGTCTCCGGCCAAAACGACGCCGCAGTGACAGGTTGGAGCTCCAGCGTCAAGACACGGGAATCCTCACGTGCGATACTTACAATGCTTTCCACATTAGTCAAGAAGCGTGCGCCAACTCCTATAAACAAAACAATTGCAGAGCACTCCTTGCAAGAAATACAACTTTTTTTACTTGAATTTCTGTTACAATTGCTACTGTGTCCAACATCCCGCAGTTTCTTGCGGAATTCGTCCTCCTCCACGCGCATCGTCACATAATCAACATCGTAGCCAAGGACACGCAAGTTCCACGCATCAAAGAGCTCCAGCAGGTGGTAGTGTGGGTAGAGCAACAATCCTGGCAGGAATACAGGCGTTCCCTCTGATAGCTGCAAATGACTCAACACCGCCTCCACCATACTGACGGTGCTCTCGCTGACAAGAGGCATCTGACAAGAAGGATACATACGCTGAGCGAGACGCAAGCTCAAGGGAGCTTCCTTCCGCGTGGGATTCTGCGTATGGTCCGTTTTCGTAGCGGTTCGTGGCGATGCAAACAACGACGATATATCACGGGCGGCGTCACGGCAAAGGCGCTGAGGCGCCAACCCCCCACGACCTCCCATTGCGCGGTAGCATGCAAGAAGAGAGGAGTGGGCGCGTGCTCGCGGATAGCAATAAAGCCATGGTCCCCTGCAACGCTGCAACCGCTTCTCCACCTCACTTTCTGGGGTTGCAGTGGAGACCTTCATTGAAGCACCGCCACTGCAACCACCCTCACTAGATGCATCCGACATCATTCACTATATATGTAGCGTTCTTCCCAACGCAGGGAAGTAAGAGTGGCAAAGAAACAAACACAAAGAAGGCAAGAAAAGAAGCAAAACAAAATTTAAAAAAATTCCCCGTAGTGGAACCAAGAAACTCCAGAGAACGGTGTTGTACTCGGGAGATATTCTGCTTTTCATCGCCACTCCTTTCTTTTGGGTTGTATCACCTGCAGCTGCACATATACATAGGTATGTGTCTGGCGAGACAAGGAGGGGGTCAAGCGCGCGTTGGCATATTTTCGGGTCCATACTTACATCAATATCCCACCCAATTCGGGACAAGCGTTACACAAGTCACACCTTGACTCGCATACGCACATAGAGGGAAGAACGAAACACCTCAAAAAAAGTTCCTAGCTTTACCCACAGGGAATAAAAAAAAAATTTGTTTGTGTGTCTTTCCTTTTTGGCGTTTATGTAGTCACTGGGGGCTTAACCTCCACGCATTCAGCGTCGAGCACAACGGCGGGAATAAGCACTCCCTGTGCGTTTGTACGCTCCGTCTCGGATTTGATGCGCTGCGTCAGCTGCCGGTTGGCTTGCCGGTAGTACCCCAACTCATCTTGCCGTACCTTGCTGCGGGCATTGTTCTCCTGCTCAATGGCGTATAGCAATTGGCTTTCCCGCACCTGCGCCGCCTTTCGCCTCACTAATAGTTCCGCTCGCACCTCCTCCAACTCCTTAATGCGCTGCTTGAGCTGCGCCGTACCCACATCAGACTCCTCCCGCTGCTTTGAGGCAAAATACATGGCTCGCTCCGCGAGAGAACGGTGGGCAGCTAAGGTCTGGTACAACTCGTCACGAATGCGCAGCAGCAGGATGCCTCGTGTTGGTTCCTCCAGCGTTACCTGTCTAATAAGCTCATCAAAGATCTCTGCATAAATTTCGCGCCTAATCGGGCATATCCCACTATCCTGAGCACGTCGCTGCTTTAGCCGGTTCGTCAACCGCTCATGCAGCTCCGCCACCTCTATCCGAGAAGACGGCTCTGTGGAGACAAACTCCACAACCGTATTTCCTGTTTCCTTACACACAGTGCGCCTAGGAGGCAACAATGTATAGAGGAGCCGCTCCACATCCGACAACTTGGTCATGAGAGCTGGAAGAACAGCACCTCCCGGGTACGCCACAGAGCCCTTTGTGTTGAACTCATCCAAGAGAGTAGCCTTCTCTGCAGCAGACGAGCTGGCGACAGACGGCGCTCCACGTGCCCGCCACGGGGACACGCTCTCGTTCAGGCAAGGCGCCGCAACAGCAAAGGGTTGCACCGGATGCGTTAAAGCCTTTGCGGCCGCATCTACTCGTGCCACATGTGCCGGAACCCCCGAGGCTGTTGCTAGTGCTCGGCTTACTCCACCCAAATTGAGCGGGCCGTTTGTGGCATTTTTGCGTGCATCCGCAAGCCTTGAAGCGGGAATGGAGACAACGCGCTTGTGTGTCTCAGCACCACAGACACTGTCGGTGTCAACAAGGACTTCCGGCTGCAGTTTCAGCAAGGAACCCGACATTGACGGGGTGCCTCTGCCTCCTCCCCCTTCCTCCCTACCTCTCTAGAGTGTTTTATGAGCGTATGTGGGGTGCGGCGGTCCTATAACTCAGCACGGCCAGAGGAAAAGCGAGAAATCGAAAAGGAAAAAGGAAAAGAAAAAAAAAGTGGGTACGAAGGAGGACATACATGAAGAGGAAGAACGAGTATCGCCGCTCACAAGTAACAGAAAGAGAGGCAAGAAGCATCAAAAATACGATGAATCAGCATAAAAAGCCACATACACAATGTTGCGAGGCCACTCAATGGCGAAGTTGGCCAATAACGCGTTGTCGCAAAGTGGAATCGCGTTAACTGTACATGATTCATCCCAAAAAAGTTCTCTAACTCTTTATACATCGTATTCCTTCAGCATAGTTTAACCTTCCACTGCTTCGAATTCCCGAACATCCCAGTTCTTAAGTGGCGCTCCGCACTGTACGAAGGATTCCGTAGGAAACCGATGGATCTCCTTTTCGCTGCTCTTCCCGCTTCTTCCATATCTCAAGCAGCGGAGCTACCTCTTTTGACGAGACTGCATCGAAGAGGAACATGTCCTCTGCCACGGTTCCACCGTCGAAATGATCGTGAAGCGTGGCCCCGATAGAAAGTAGCAACTTGATGGCGCTTTTCTTGCCTGTGCGTAGCGCATACTCCATCACAGGCACCGGCACTTCCTTTAGCGGGTTTGCACAGACTGTCACAACGCAACATCGAATCATCAAGTAGCGCACAAGACTGACATTGTGGAAAGGTTCACTGAAAAGGACGGTATAGAGCGTTTCAGGAGTGAGATACGTCCGCGGCGCCAGCGAGAGGGACTCAAATGTCATCCGTACTTGCTCTATCGCTTGCATGCACTCCTCACTGTACTCAGATACGGTCAAACTGACACCCGGCACGCGGGAGAATAAACTCAGTTTAGGCGAATCCACGCTCGGCTGTGGCAAGGGAAACACGTATTCCACGACCGAGGTCCGAGACTGGCGTGCGATGAAAGGAATTCGGGACGGGGTACGTACCGGAGAACACATTTGATTCAGCGCGGAGACGTATGCCTTGCGACGTTCCATCATCTTGTCCAAGAGAAGCAACGCATGCCCCTTGGCAATTGTAGCCTCGTCAAATTGGTTATCAAGGGAGCGGTAGTACAGCTCGTTCCAGAAGGTGTCGAGAAACAAGTCAAGATGATTGCCCGTCGTCAAGTCGCGGTCAAGCATCCAGGCCTGCACAAGGTCGGCAAATGGGGCGCGGTCGTGCGGACCCAAGACGGCGAAGAGTGGGGTCATGGAGAGGAGGAGCTTCAGGGAGGCAAGCCGCTTGAACCGCAACATACAAAGATAAAGCAGACGAAAATAACCTGACTTCATCGTCTCGGTTGGGGTGCGAACCCGCTCTGCCTTCTTTCGCAGTAGGTATTCAAAGAGTTCATGATGCTCGTCAGAAATGCCAAAGGTTAGCTGCAAGTATGACCGTACCACGACGGACTTTCTTTTGTCCTCCTTCTCACGAGGGGACAAGCAGCGCTTCGACTGCGCGCTCGTCAAGACGAGTAGAAGCATGACAAGATCACTTTGGTACAGTTGCTGCGTCCGAGGCTGCGTTGGCGACACTTCACCGGCCCCTGCGCCTGTTTCCGGGAGAAGTGAGAAGGATGACACCACCAGCGGGTCTTTTCGGGGCTTACCATCCTCCACACGCTGCAGCAGGGCAGGCCCAATACACTCCATGAGTGTAAACTCGGATGGGGCATTCCCTTTTGCATCACGTTGAAGGCGTCGGCGTATCTCAACCACAACTGCGAGTAGGAAGGGAGAAATGGCAAACCTAGGACCATCCTCCTGCTGCGTACGCCGCAGGAATGCGGCAATTGCGGCAGCTTCGCCGGCATACTTTTTTTTGAGCTCCCTTCCTCCGCCTCCTCCTCTTCCTCTTCCTCCTCTTCTTCGTCGCCGTCGTCATACTTCGCATCAAGTCCCCCTCTACCAGCATGATTGAGGTGACTGCTCAACACAGCATACTCACCTGCAGAGCCAGATGCCCATGAAAGAAGAAGTGGCTTTGGTATCTCCAGAAGAAGCCACAAGATGAGTCGGATTCCAACTACAGAGCCTAAGTGGCTGACAAGGATACGCCTAGTCGGCAAAGTGCGCACCTTCAGCAATGCTTCCATGGTTTCAATGCATCTCCGTTCCCCCGCAAAGGAAGCATCTTCCTTGTCCTGCTTGCTCCGCTGCTCCACTTGTGAGGTATTAATCTGCATCCTTGGGTAGGTGGGGAGGCGGTTATTGATGTATGACGCCGTGAAGAAGAGGTTAAAGTCCATCGCGGCACCGGGCAGTTCATACGGCAGACGTGCAGCCCCTGTTGCATATACAGATAACATCATACGGTGAATTCTGGTGAATATTGGCATCGCGGCAGAAAGGTCCATGCGTAGCCAGCGCTCCACACAGGTGAGTGAAACGGGTTCCCGCTGTAAGAGGCAGCAGCGCAGCGCAGTGGGACTTTGTAGAGCGGCAAGCATCAGCGCGTCAATGCAAATAACGGAATCCATGTCCAAGCGCCGCGCACCTGGCACTCCCTCCTCGTCGTCTTCCGCTTTATCCTCCCCCTCCTCTTCTCCCTCCTGCTGTTCGTCAAGTTCCATCGTTACATCTTGCTTCCCTTCCTTTTCCTCCGCTTCTTCCTCCTCCTCTTCCTCCTCTTCTTCTTCCTCCTCCTCCTCCTCCTCCTCGGAGCCCTCAGCAGTTACCCTCGATTTCGTGCCACCCCTTGTTGCTGACACGCCCCCGGCACCGCTGATGCCGCTCCGGAGCCTCTGCTGCGGCTCTTGGGGAAGCGTGTCCAGCAGATACCACTGCTTTCTATCCACAGAACGCACCAAAAAGAAGACACGATGCGCTTCGGTAAAACGCAGCACCGTCCGCGGCAAAGACGCCACCGGCCGCACCGAGAAGCTTGCTCTGGAAGGGCGCGTAGACGCGCTGCCTAAAGCATCCACCTCCTTCACCGAGAGGAAAGCCTCGCTGGCGGTGGAGCGTGACTCGGAATTCGGAAACCCCTCGGCAAAGGCGTCGGTAACAATAGATACCCGCGTGTTGGTTCCCACCGTCGCCTCTGTTTTCTCCCTCTCTGTATTTTTCGTCATATCCGGCTTATTTTCGTCCTCGTCTTCTTCCCCATCCACCCCTTCCTCTTCCTCCTCCTCTTCCTCTTCCTCAACTAAGCCAGTGTGCTGCCGGGTCATTGGCGCATCTTGCTGGCTGCGCCCATTTTTCTCGTCAGCAAACGGCGGTGAGGCTGGGAGTGCGGCGTAGCCATACATAAGCTGCAACGTGCGTTCCCAGTGGAAGACGTCATCGCTAAGCAGATGCGGCAGCCACGGCGGAGACAAATGCTGGCTGCGCTGCTCTTTACCGTGTTCCTCTTCCTCCTCTCGCCCTTCAGCTTCATCTTCCTCCTCCTCCTCCTCCTCGTCGCCGCCATGCCCCCCATGCAGCCGCCTCTTTTTCGCAGGGTGCATAGGCGCCTCGGCGGAGAGACGGACGCTCACGACGCTTTTTTCTGGGCCGTGGCCGGGAAGCAGCAGTTGGATCTCCCGCACGGCTGCCTTGCGTGGCGGCAAATTTTCTTCCTTCTCTTCCGTCCGCATTTTGCCCTTTGCCTTCGTGGCGGCTGCGGCGTCGTCGTCACTCGCCTCCTCATCTTCCTCGCTGCTGTTGCGCCTCCGGGCCTTTTCCGCGCCCTTCACGTGTTCGCCGTCCTCCTCATCGTCCTCGCCGCTGCGGCCGTCCTTCGACTCCTCTTCCTCGTCCAGCAGCTCCTCGTCTTCCTCCTCTTCCTCCTCCTCTTCCTCCTCCTTCTTGCTGAACTGCTTTTTCTGCTTCCCGCTCATCACCCACTGTAGACGCGCGCCAGACGCAACCATGAAAGAAGAATAAAAAGGAAAAACGCAAGAAGACGGAACAAAAAAAAGGAAAAGATGATGAGTGACACCACGCAGGAAAAGAAACGCGGGCGACAGACGCCACGACGTGGTGGCAGAGAGCGTGGGGGGAACAGCCCGAAAACCACAACACAGGCATACCAAGGAGAGTAAGTTCGCACTACTTCGCTTCCTCTTCCCCTTGCTGCCGCCCATTCGCGGGCAAATGCAATCCTCCCTATACACTGTACGAGCACGACACAATCAATAACTATAGCGTACACACTCTTATATATATATATATAACGGCGTAGCACATGTATCTTCCCTAAGAGCAGCACACACACACACCCCATCCCAATAATTATAATAATAAGAAAAAGACAACAAAAACGTCATATAGATCCACTCAGAAAATTTTTGCTTATTCCCTCTTTTTGCCGCCGTGTACAGCAAAAAAAAAAGAGCCATGCGCACCACTTACACATCCCACTGTCAAACTTCCACAAACATGACCTCCATCGCAAGAAGGATACAGCTAAGGATGCCGTACTTCATGATCATATGCAGTTGTTGATCTTGCACGTAGTCCTTCCCCGTGATTTCCATAGTGTAGGTGACGTGTTTCGTGCCGATAACCACCACATTGTACGCCAAGGCAACCAGCAGCGCCGTACCCAGCGGGGAATATAAGAGGGTGCTAAGGGACACGCAACTTTGCACCTGCAGCGAGTGCGTGGCAAGATTCGAAAACAGCTGTGCAACGTTCCGCCGGTCGCATCGCAAAGCAAGAGCAGTGCTGCCGCCGCAGCCGCCGGTGTGCCGCGCCACCATCGCAGACCGCAGTGCCATATTTCCCCCCAGAAGCGTACGACGCGCAAACATCTTCGCTGGCTTGGCTCCTCTCTCTTTATTTCCCCCTAGTTCTTTTTTTTTGTGTGTGATTCCTTCTTTGCTCGACCGATTTGTCGCTGCTTGCTCCCGCCACGATACTGCCTATGTGTCTTTGTGCTTATGACTTCTCATCGAGCCGGAGCGAGGCAGTTCGAACGGCAAACAGGCACAGAAGAAAAAATGCAAAGTAACAGAAAAAAAAAAAGAAAAAAAAAAAGAAGAAAAAAATATAGCGCACAGCAACGGCGGCACCCCCCTCCCCCCCC